CCTCCCCCTTTTCAGCAATTTTTTTTTTCACTGAGCCACCTGGCTTGAGTGTGATAGGTGCCTGTAAGGGGCCTGGCACAGGCAGCTCATGGCTTGGTTGCTGGTTGGGCAGGCCGGTCGGGTGTTCTAGCACCTTGGGGATGTGACTCTTGCAGCCCCCAGGCTTCGTAGGCACCTTCCCTCCACTAGCAACTTGGGTGTTAACATCAGAATAAGGCTAGGAATATCAAGAAGTCACTCTGTGAGAGAAAATAAACTGTTTTGAATGTTTACATCTTTCAAATACTAAAAGCGGTAGCAACCCAATTCTACCGGAAGTCACTGTTAAGAGCCGATAGACTACACTCAATCGTTTGAATTATTCCATAAATCGGGAAACATGCAAAGTCCACAATCTTCTTCAGCCAATAGAGGTAGTTATCATTTATCAGCTGACATATTTGTCATTTTTTCTACTAATAACCAGAAAAAGTGCCAGTATTAAAGGTAAACAGTCTTTCAGTCGTTTACATAGCATGTCAAGAGATGTCACGTCAAAAGATGTTCGCAAGATGTCGCCTACGCTCAATACTGAAGGCAGGTGTAGATCATTGTCTAAACACATGTACATCACACATTACTAAACTTGAGTCTATGTTGCTCAAACTACTAAACTCAAAGGGTTTATTCAAGAGTCTAAAATCTCGCATTTGAATATTCATTTATCGTTGTACACTTCCATCACAGAATATGGCACTGTACTTCCCTATTGATCTGTAAATTCAAAGCTGAAAATTGAGTTCGAACATAGTTTGAATTGTCCTGAATTATTTCATTGGCTCAATTCAAAACCTCAGATGTCACACTATACCTAGTCTTAAAATATGACATCTTGATTTTAAACGAAGCTTCCACACTATTGATGATGAAAATAAAAGGACAAATAGATGTTATAGATGTGATTGGTGAGGGGGGGAGGGGGGATACACGTATCATTGGCAAGGCTCAAAAGAGCTTTGGATAGTTTTCAATCTCCTCCGGTGTAAATTCTTCTAGTCTTTTGGGGAGAGGCGCTGGACCTTCTAGTTTGGCGAAAATATTCTCCGCGAAAGGATGTTCACTCTCCTCAAAGAGATGCAGTCTTTTCATCCATATTGGTCTCAGATTGTTCTTTGGGAGCATTCCATAGACCGCCCTCCACAAGATCCTTGTGGCATCTCGCTCGTGAAGATCCCTTGCAGTGAACGCTTTGAGTCCCCCTGGGTACCCTGTGTGATGGCGATAAAGCTTCTTTTTCCACTTGGAGCCGGTGAGAATAATATGTCGCGTGTTTATTACGACTACGTGGTCGCCAACATCGTCCTGATGATGATAAATAGGTTTCGTCTTTCCCTGCAAAATCTGCCCTAAGTATGCAGCCAGGCGTCCATTGATCTGGTCTTTAGCATCCACAAGGTACCAAAGACGAGCATGAGTGAGAAAGCTTTGGTTGGCGCGATTCAGGAAAGTCATTTTTGTGCTTCTCTATGTCGCGCTGTACTGTACGAAATGGCCGCTAGCGAGCCGCTACCAACCACGCACGCGCATGTGGTTTCTACGTCATTTATTCTATCGCTGATTGTCGCTTTAACAAAAGCCGCTGTCCGGTTCTATTCGCTGGGTTATTGCTTAAAAAAAGTTCATACGATCGAAACGGAACGAACTGTGGAACAACGTTCCGCTTTTACTCGGCATGGATCAGGGTAAGGAATCTCCAGATTACTTTATGTAATGTTAAAGATACATTTTGTTGATGTTAATTTACTTCTTGCTTATTTAGTACGCGAAAGTCATATGAGTTCTCCATCTTCACCGGGATATTTGCCGCAGTATCTTCTTGGCGGCAATTCGCCGGCTGCTTCGGTATGTGCAACTTTTTTTTTTCTTTGATTGATTTCTTAGTTTTCCATATTGACATAGAATTTTGGATAGAAGACTATTTTTATAAGGAGTTATTTTCATTTATCCAACTCACTATTTAATCGGTGTTAAATTTACAGTGATTTAACTTTACATATTAAAATTGGCGCCATTGTTGAAGACTACGGTATTTATTAGAGCGAAAATTGTCTCATTCAAATTCTTTGACTTTCCATTGTTCTGTTGCCATAAGAATAATTCTCAGACTTAAATTTCCAAGATGATTGGAACGTCTGTCCTGGTTGGGACATTACGAGATGAATGATGGATTTGTGAGTCCCATTTTTGCATTTCTCATCTTTTACTTCAGTTCCAGGTTCCAGTTCCAGACTGTTAACAAGTCATAAGGCTGATTTAGCAACAGGACGGGAACGTCAGATGACGACTGCAGGGCACGCAGAATAACCTGGATTCTGCTCTAATTTGACCATATTTGGGCATTTGTACTGCACACGCGGTCGTCAAGTGTCGTTCCCGTTCTCTTGTTAAATCAGCCTAATGATTGGCTGTGACAAACGTAAATGTGTGCAAAAAATCCAGGAAACTTTGGTTGGAATGTCAACTACAAATGAAACACTCTTTTCCCAATGGAAATTTCCAACTAAAAACAAAATTCCCAATGGTAGACACCCAGGATAATTCTGGCAAGAGGGTTATCCTTGTAAGAAGTTGTAAATTGCTTCCATTTGCAGTTGTTTTGTTTACAGTATGTACAAGCACTCTAGGGTTACCTTTGCCTATCACTATGGAAATCCCATATTTCGAAATTCAACGTTTTGCCCTTGTAAACAGTAACTTGGAAACTGGTCAAGAAAAATATTGATATTGATATTGATTATTATAATCCATCAAATGCTCGCACACGATTGGTCTAAACACACATCACGTGACCGAATATTCCCCAGCTGAGACTGGGTAATATCCGAGAATATTCCCCAATTTTTAAAACTGTGCATGCTGCAAAAAAGATTTGAAGCTCACAGTTTTCCTTGAGCTATGCTCTCGGAAAACTGTTCACTTCTCGGAACAGATAGTAGGGACCTTACGCATATACGACGGCGATGGCAAGGACGACGCCTAGTAAAAAATGTGTTTCTATTTTACTTTGGAATTTCTCATTTATTTAGATCTATTCAGTGTGTTTGTTGGTATTAAAACTTGCCCCTGCCGAATATGCTACAGATACGTTCAGTTCCAAATAGAAATACGAAAAATTAGCCGTCGTGGTTCACGTTCTCCAGACAACGCAGAATTTGGTTTTTTCACGTTTATGTTTTGCAGAGGACGGCAAAGAAATGTACCAAGAATTATAATGCACGTGCACAGCCATTGTTCTCCTCATTAAACCTTTTGTTTGGTGACGTTCTCGTTGCCGTTGCCGTCGTGTTTTGCGTAAGGTCCCTAACAACGTAAAAAGACCAAATTCTGCGTTGTGAGGAGAACGTGAACCACGACGGATAGTTTTAAAAACTTGCTTTTCGAATTTTACGCCGTGTTCCATATTAATTCAGATTCGAGATGTCTAGCCCTCTTTTTTTTTAAGGCCCAGTCCACACTACGCCGTAGAAATTTGAAAACGCAGCTTTATTTCTACGGTTAGGCCTACCGCCCACACTAATCCGTCACGAAAACGGAGCTTTTCGAAAACGCTCTTAAAACCGGAGGAATTTGAAAACGTCGACTTTGCGTTTTAGTGTGGACGAAAAATATTTTGAAAACGGAGCTTTTCGAAAACGATGACACCACGATAATCATATAATTTGCCTGCCAGAGTTTTCCTCCAACACAAATCCAAAACAACCGGTGATTTTTGCGTTTTTAAATTTCTCCGGCATTTGATGCGTTTTCAGAGTGAATTCGCCGGTTTCAAATTTTTCCGCCGTAGTGTGGACGAGACCACAAGCTGGTGCACACGAGGCGAATACAAGTTGGCTCATTTCTATGTTGTAGCTGGGCAAAGTTTATTTGTAATTGTAGTGCACACGACGCGATATTAAACATTGAGCTCATTTCTTCACAGCTTCAGGTCGCAAGAATTCAAGTTTACCAGCTGAATTTTATTACACATGCTGCAGGGAGAAAGTTTTGTTCCCGCAACACAACATTTTTCAAAAAAAAAAAAAAGGGGGGGGTGGGGGCATGTCACACAAGCAAAAACTGTCGCTAAAAAATGTCCTCTTGTTCAATTGTCCCCGCAACATTTTGTCGTTCAAACTGTGCCGCAACAAAACTGCGACACATTTGCATAGTACAGTACACTAACAGACGTAACGTAATTTAATGCGACAGCGCCTTATCGCACAGGAAACTTGGATGAAAATAAATCGGTTCCTTCGCAAAGCTTTTTGAAGGGTTGGTTTTTCTTCAGCGTTAACGTGGTTTCATTGAACACTACTAAAATGAAACGGGAGGTTTCAGTGTCGGAGACTCAAAGCGGACTGCATAACAGTCAGTTAACGTAAACATAAGCTATATTGCACAATCTTGCTATAATTAAGTTTGCTTCGTTCTAATTTAAACTTCGTGCAATAGAAAAAGGTTAAACGCGAATACCTATTGCAACAAAACTATTTGTAAATTATGTATTTGAAGGAACAGCAACTTTTAATAGCTGCCCACAATTGCTAACGTAGAAAAATAAAATTTTCACGAGCACAAACAACTCAATTCCGAGAAAAGCGAAATTCAATATTACAGGTAGTATCGTTGAACAAATCGAGTTTAAAAGTCACGACAGACTCTGTGATGTCTCCGGACTGATCATGAAAAGCTGTAAGGCCTGCCACTATTTTGATAACATTTCTGTTGTAACCAGTTGTCTCGTCTTGGAATGATTCTGATGTTTCTGAATAAATACACGTAAATTTACGTGTAATTCACATTTTCTTAGATCAAATTTACAAGGTTTTACCTCTTAATGTATGTATTCATATGACAGCTAGCCGTCAAAATTATCTGACAGAGGTTAAGTTAACTGGTATCCTTTCGCCTTTACATGTAGATCTACTCCATCAAAGCAGTCTTTATTATCTTCCAGTGTAAAGGTTTTTTCATGTGCATTATACAGTCATCTACATAAATAATCCGTGTGATTAATCTCAGTTTAGATCAAATTTCGAATTTATCAAAACTGCATTGGTTTGCATTATTTGTCATTTACTCCATTCTCCACTGTTGGCTAAAAACTGTTTCCACGGTCCCTACAGTTAACATGTACTCTGTTTTTTGTTTTGGTTTTCTCTTTGTTAGTCTCTTTCATTCCTAATCCTTACAGCTTCAGTGAATCACTCTCCTGGGGTCAGGGGGGAGGGGGGAGGGAGAGCATATTCATTTTACACTGATGGTAACCCAAAATTCATTGAGTGGGTCAGGGTTGTAAAAAACGGGGTTGGGGTGGTGTACATGTAGGACCAGCCTCCCACACAGACACTCTTAGGGTTCATCGCGCGTTGGAGAAGGAATAAGTGATGAGCCCTAAGAGCATCTGTGGTGCGAAGCTAGTGAAGGGAGGGCACAATTATAGATGAAGACATAAATGTAATATTATACAACATTGCATATTTAGTTATAGGACAAATCACACATCCTCAAACGTACAGTACAGGTATAATTATAAATACCTTGTATAGCTGCTTATAACTTCTGGTAAGTATTCTAGTTTATTTTTGGACACGTCAAGCACTTCCAAGGCAGGCAGAATGTTAAACAGCTCATCTGGAAGCTCTTCAAGGTTGTTTTCTGACAAGTCAACACTCACAAGTCTTGCAGACAGGTTCACGAACCAAGCCTTGTGAAGTGCGTACAGATTTTTTCTGCTCCATGCTGCAGAAAACATAGTGACTGATGGATCAACTTCGAATGACAGTGTTGTTTTGCGTTTGTTTCTAGTTTCCTTTGTGTACCTTCAAAAAATAATTATAATTAAAAATAATTTAAGAATTAAAATACATTAAAATTTCAATCAAAAGATTCCCAGGAGTGATAGGCATCTCGCTAATATTATTGTTTCCTTAAAATGAAAAATTTACTCGATTAGAGGTGATAAGGATGGAGAAAATCAATCATTGCACCTCAGCTAAATAATGATTAAATAACATAACTGGAAAGAAAAGTTCTTTCTACATGCATTGCTCAAGGCAAATACAAATGGAAAAAATAAAAAAAAATAAATAGTTACATTAGATACATGATCCTCAGTTAGTTAAAAATCTACAAATAATAATTAAAATTAAATTGTTACATTAATTTTAATGTTCTTTTTTCCCAATATAGATATACCCTAACTGTACTATATGGGTAGTAAAATTTTTATAGGTATAAAAAAAAAAATGAAATAACTGTTACATCAACCAGTCCTGTACAAGTTGATAGCGATAGAAGTTTAGTGCACTGTTACAGTTGATACTTAATATCATGGAACCAATTTAGCAATAAAAATAATCATAATTATTATAGTAATAATGATGATGACAGGAGTGACAAATGGAGATGACAATTAAATGGCGATAACAGTAATCAATGGTGACGGGAATCAATTCCTGGTTGCATCATGGATGATAATGAGAATGATGATGATGAGGAGGTGTGGTGAGGAGGAAGAAAAAGAAAGGATGGAAAAGGAAGAGAAAGAGAAGACACAGAAGAAGGAGTAGGGACAACAATGATGACGATGACAAAAGACAATGAAGGGGAGGAACTTTCTTACCTCATCAGTGCTTCTCCAATCAATTCCCAGTATTTATCCACAATGTCACACGTCACATTAGCACCGTTTTCTATGAGATAATTCACAATTGCAGTCTGCCGACCAACACAAGCACCTTGAAGAGGACTCCCTGGTACTCGGCTACCCTGAGAGTCTAACAGCGTTTGAGGTGGGTCCACATCCACACCCTTCTTGATCAACAATCTCACGACCTGGGCATGTCCAAGTCTACAAGCCTCGTAAAGTAGCACCTGTCCATGTGTCCGCAAAAGAAGGGGCTCCTCTGACAGTAAAAACTCCATAACTTCAGACTTTCCAGATTTACAGGCAAGTAAAATAGGTGAAGAGTTTCCCAGCGCAGGGTCGTGCACTAACGCACCTTTTGAAATCAAAAATTGTGCAATGTCTGCATGCCCTTCCATGCAGGCAACACATAAAGGTGTTCCTTTCTCATCTGATATTTGATTGACATCTGCTCCGAAATCTACAAGCTGACGCACAACATCTAAGTGTCCATTCTCACAAGCAATATGTAGAAAATCTCTAGGTAAAGGATAGTCATCATCTGCTAATTCTTGTCCACAAATGAGGTCCTGCACAATATCACGATGACAATAGATTGCTTGCAGCAGTGTGTCAAGGTTTCCTGTCCTGCATGCCTCGTTAAGCTGTTTAATAACTCCTGAAAACACAAAATGAAGACTGTGAGGAATTGGAGTACGTTATGCTATCAAACGGCCTGCTGTAATATAACCTTTATCAAAAACTGGATCATTGGGTAATACAATTCCAGAGTTTTCATTGGCTCAGCTAAAATTGCTTAGCTGTATAATTAATATGAGCCATTATACCATACTCTACAAATATGGTCAGCGAATGAGTAATTTTGGGGGGCATTCTTGCTATTATTTTAATTTTATTAGTTTTCGATATTTTGGGGCATTTTGCATAAAACATTTATTCCACTCATGCATGTTGGATTTGAAATGATTACTAACAACTCAGCTTATATAGTGATTAATAATACAACAGGAAGTACTTGTCAGAACTAAATTGTTGCAGTTAGCAGAAACAGTTGTAAATTCTAAGAACTGGCAATCAGAAATCACAATGGCCACATTATGTTATGATAGTATCGAACAATACATGCACATACAGCGGTACAAACTAATAAATTAAAGAACTTAATGAATACATTTACAAAGTGCTTCAGTTCTTCGATCAAGATGATATTTGACTAGGCAAGACTTTCCTTGCGAAATTAAAAAGAAAATAAACGTAAGGATTCACGGAGATATTATTTAAACTCACTATACCATTTCGTTGATAATCGCATGGTAAAATTACTTGCCAAAACACTGAAATCGTAAATAATCATATTCAGCGCTAATAAGCAAGATTGTTGCTACATAATTAATGATGGAACCCGGCCACTAACTAAACTGCCCACAAAGTTATACATGTCGCGCAAATGCTAGCTTCAATTAAAAATCCAACCTAACAGAACTGAATTAAGATATTTATGCTAAGTTTTCACCGTCCCAAGAGAATAGCAGAACAGCTGACTCACTCTCTTTGCTTGATGTCAATTCGTCTTCGTCTCTCACGATCATTCGCGAAACAAATCTTTTCACTTTGCAAATGCAAATTAACTAGTGCATTAGAACGCGTTTATACTTCAGTCTCAAAATTTGCCTTGGGGAGAAGGTCATTGTGAACTGACTCGTTGGCGAAACGACCAGTTAAAGATCAAAGAAGGCTTCTAGGAAAAACACTCAGACGTGAGGCCCGATCGGTTCAGACAGATATAGGCCTATTGATATTTGCATGTCAGGTCACGTTTCCGCATGCTAAAACAATTTACCTTTGCTCATGGCGTATTTATACATGCACTCCTTCCAGGAATCATTTTGCTATCAACGCCATTCCACTAAAATCAGGATGAGCGGTGAAAAATGACGGCAGACATCATGCCCATCGCGCTTGGTGGACGCTTCTTGTTTCCAGGAAATAAACTAAAAGATTGCGTGACTTCCGTCATGCTTTGATGAAGAAGTCCAAATTTGGATTGTCTACTCTTTATATGGGAATGCAAGGTCCCGTATGCTAACACACACACACACATTTAGCGGGAAATTTTAGCAAGATGGCGTCGAAGAGACCCAGGTCCAGCTTAAAAAGTCACTTTCATTCAAACAAGAAAAGTAAGTCCGGCGCTAATGGCGAACCAGATGAAGAAAATGGAGACGGAGGTTTCGTGGATGGTGCAATAGTGCGAGTTAAGATGCGAAATTTTGTGTAAGTTCAAATCGTAGTTTAGTACGTTGCAATTGATGCATTGGGCGCAATTGCGCCCTTTACAGAAATCTTCATGTGCGCGTGTGTATATGTGGTCTCTACTTTAAAGTTTGTATCTTTTCAAAGTGACAGCCATATTGCATTGCATAATTGTGGGGCTATACGGGAATCCAAAATAGCTGCGAAAACAGTTCCAAAACAACATTTAATACATGCAAGATTTTTTCGTTGCTGCGATCCGGCTCAATTAGTAACCCCAGGGGTACAACCAGCGTCCTAGGGGATTCCACTCCGTGTGAAGTTCTCTTGAAATTGAACTCAGATATATATATAGGAAGTGTATTGTTTTGATAAACCCCTGAACATACCCTTAGCCTACAAACATTGTCTATTTTAGTGACACTCAGCCAGTCCACATTGAAAATTAGCCCTTACCCAAAGTTGAAAAACTCTGTTGGCTTCTGATTCTCAACCTCCTATAAATTTTGATATACACTCTACTTTATCTTTCAATGTAAACCATAGACATAGTGCATAAATGGTGCTGATATTTGAAGAACAGTACTTATGCAGAGGAACCCCGCCTTACTGTATGTACTGCCATCCAGTTATTATGGCCACCTCATGATTATGGCCACTTTATTCTGGCCTGAACAAAAGCTCAGTCAGTCTTTTTCAATTTAAAGAACCTCTTTGATACGGCCACCTCAGTACAGCCAGCTCGTTAGTACAGCCAGATTATTTGGTCCATTGGTAACTGGATGAACAGGGTTCCACTGCATATCCCAAGCCTCACATTCATGTGAAAAATCTTTTGACTGAAAACACTAACACGAGGCTTAGAATGTACAATATAAAGTATTATTGTTATTCAAACTTAAGCACTATTTACTTAAAGTGTGTCTTATTTTACTTTCATATCTCTCTCAGGACATATGGAGACTGCGAGTTTCGACCAGGACCTCACTTAAATGTCGTCTTAGGACCAAATGGTATGATCAAGCACTAAAGCACTCTACTAATAGCTATGTATATATATATATATATGTGTTGTAGGTCAATTTGTTTCAAACTAGGTTAGTTTGAACTCAACTTAGTTCAGTTTCCTTTCTTTTTGACTGTGTCAAGATGTCCAGCCGCCGGACAATGTTTTTAAAATACTTCATATCTGGTTAGCCTGAATAGCATTCTGGTTTGCCTGAATAGTGCACCAGGTAGCCTGTTTGTGGTTAGTTTTCAAGAATTGTAATGGTAAATCAATAAATGCATAGTCGTAAATGGAAAATTTTATGACAGCCCTGTTATACTTTATTTACTGAAAATTGTGTTTCCAGGTACTGGTAAATCATCTATTGTCTGTGCAATGTGCCTTGGACTTGCTGGTCCAGCAAAGCTGCTTGGTCGAGCGACTGAGGTAAGGATGAGCTGTAGTACAAATCAATTCATTTCAAAGCATGTACACCTGTACAACCCTAATACTTTCTCATATTTCAAGTCTATTATTAATACCTACATGTGCAATCAGATGACCTTCCATTGAAATACATGTAAAATTGTACATCATCATTGTCACTCATCTTCTTCACAGCCCTGTCAAAATGTTTCGTGCTAGCAACAGCAAAATTTAATAAATGTAGTTCTTACATGTGGGGAGCTTGAGACTGTTTTTTTTTTTGTCAGCTATGAACTCCAGGTTTAGGGACCTTGCCTTATTTCACAGTCAGGAAAAGGTCATGGGAAAAGCAAAATTTCAAGCTCCAAGAAAAGTTAGGGAATTTTATTTTGAGTCAGGAAAAATTGACATTTTGAATAACGTTAGGAAAATGGATCATGGAAACTGTAACATCACTGATTTAAAATCACTGAAGGCTGGAAGAAACATTTTTGGTCACTTGTGATCTCAACGATGTTCTTTCTGAAGAAGACAAAAACTATGGAAAACTGATCAGTGTAGAATTAATGGGTGGAAAAGATGGCTGTAAGGGAAGGCTGGCTTGGGCCGCTACTTTATTCTGACATTTCATGTTTATTTGGTCAGGGAAATTTTATATTATTTTATCAGGGAATAGTCAGTGAACTCTCAGACGTGATACATGTACAATGAATCTCTGGCAGCCATGACAACATTAAATCAACTCGTTACTTTATCCTTAGGTTCGAGATTTCATTAAACATGGAGCATTTCAATGCATGATTGAGATTGAACTGTAAGTAGCCTTATTACAGATAAAAGGTGGTGGGTGACTATGATGTGGGTAGGACTCAATAATTTCATTTTCCAGGCCTGAAAAGTCATAGAATGTAATTGTTGGTCATGGAAAGTCATAGAAAATAATAGTTACTGTAGGTCCGCAGATGTTAAAACCAGAACAAAATAAAATTAGCCTTCCACGCAGATGCTCTTAGGGCAATTTGAACGACAGGCATTTTGGCGAACACCAGAGGTTACAAAAAATGTAAGGATATATGTACTTTTGAAAATTTTCTAAAGTGACTGCTGACCCTAAGGTCATCAAAAATAGGGACAGGTCATGGAAAATCATGGAACTTGATGAGCTCAAAAGAGTACAAACCCTGTAATAGCCAAAATGTCTTTAATTTATTAATTAAAGGAAAAATGTAACAACGCCAAAAAGACGTACATTAATCTTTTGTTAGTGTCAAGCTTGATCTTATTATTTCGACAATTCAGACAATGGAAAGTCATGATGTCAGTTCCTTTTTTGCCTTCAGTACTGTTTAAGTTTACAGGGCTTCACACTAACTTGTTACACCACTTTCCACTTTGGAAGGTAGATTTCAAATTTTACTTTCCATCTCAAAATTTTACTTTTCAAAATGGAGGCGGAAGGAGGAATCCAAAATAGTGAATTTGATTGCACCATACCACGTGTATTTATCGCACCCAGACCTACTCAGCAGCTCTCTCCATACTCCAATATGGTGGATCGGTAAATGTTAGAATGGTGTAAACTCATCCTTTTGAAGACAGAAAGTCATTGTCCGATGGTTATTTTTATCATTTGATCATTTTGTATACACACGTTTTTCACTGAAGCCTTTTTAGTGTAAAAGTTACTTTCCAGCGTAGCCCAAATTTACTTTCCAGATCTGGTAAGTATTTTGGTTCATTGTCAATTTTTTACTTTCCAAGAAGTAAATTTACTTTCCAATGAAAAGCAGGCAAATGTTGATGTCAAGCCCTGGTTCAGGTATTTCATCACTTTTTACAGGCACAATTCAGATGGCAGGAATCACACAATAACCAGAGATATATTCAGGGAGGACAATCGATCCACCTGGAAGATTAATGGCAAAACAACCACCATGAAAGAGGTTCAAGAGTTGACAAAAAAGTTGAATGTACAAATTGCCAACCTTTGTCAGTTCCTGCCTCAGGTATGAAGAAATCTACAATCGCACACAGTTTATACATGTAAATTATTCATTCTAGCATTAAGAAGTGCAGTGTACATGTTTGAATGCACAGAAACTCAAAGGTTTGTATTAAACATTGTACTAGTTGCAGTGGGCATTTCTTTTATCTATAACGCTTACAAATTTGTATACAGTACTTGTATATTTGACTGACTAACAGACAGACAGACAGATTAAATGACTTACTGACTGACTATTGCTTGACTGACTGACTGACTGACCGACTAACTGACCGACTGACTGACAGACTGACTGATGGAATGACGGACACACAGACTGTCTGACAATCAGACAGACAGATAGATTAAACAAGTTTAACTGACTGACTTCTGATTACTGACTACTGACTACTGACTACTGACTACTGACTACTGACTACTGACTACTGACTACTG